TGAATAGAAGCGTCAACTCAGACATTTCTTTTAAGGACCGGGTAGATATAAATCACATAGTAGACTAAAATACAGTTTTGGTAGACACATGCTACGAAATTAGCTTTTTTTATGTTGTTGTCCTGACTATTCTGTTAAAAAACAGCGTAAAACTCGACGTCGAGCACGGCGGTGTGACAATATACATACTACGAAATTAGCCTTTTCTGTTATTGTCCTGACGATTCTGTTAAAAAACAGCCTACATACGGCACGCACGGCGGTGTGACAATATAGAGTTTTAATGAAATAAAACCTTTATTACCCTTTGAATAAGGTTCCTTTGATTGAACTTCTATGACAGCGCTGCTCACGACGTTAAGTACAAAGCTGTTTTTATATCAGAATAGCACTGCTGTATTGAGAAATATTTTATCATTCTGATAAGTTTTAGTTTAGGCGCGATTGTAAAAAGGAAAAAAGAGAAAATAACGGCTTGTAAAACTCAGGGCTGAAATATTTTAACTTCCATATTAATCATTTTGTAATTGCAATGCCTATTAATTTCTGTTAACATTACTTTAATTCTTTATAAGATTAGTCGTATATCAACTTTCTATGTATGTTATGTTGTTATAATATTTTATTGTAATAAAATGTTTTATCGAATAAATTTATCTTACAATATCTGAGTGGCTGAATCTCAATAATAGTGTATTTAAGCAGTGGGAATAAAAAACCCGATTCCATAAAACATAACCTTAAATAAAAAAATGAATAGAAAAAAGAAGCTGTCAAAAATATAATAATAATATCAAAATTTTAGCTTCGTGTCATTAGAAGGTGAGTTCCATATAGTCTGCCATAAGGTCTAATGCACATGTTAGATTCATGCCGGAATTGACAAATGTATAAAGTGACCTTCAACTTTGCACACTCAACAGAAGAATCGTCGCGTACTAACGTATATTTCCGTTAGACTCTTGACGAATTTTCAATTTGACTTGTGACAATCCTAAGGCCCTTTTCACACGTACACTGTTTCCATATTAACGGTACCATGATTGAATAATCAAGGATTTAATATAAAAGCTTTCACACGATATGGCGCCTGTGCCGTGATCTTGATGTAGCAGTGCAAAGCGGCGCGGACGCGGGTTCGCCACGCCTGCCGCATGTGCACTGAAAACTGTTCACACGTACACGGACTCGGGCACCGCACGATCGTAGTTATGCGCCATTTTCTTGTAAAACTGTTTTAACATTCGAAAATATATAAAAAAAATATCTTCGTATTTTCGGAGATTCATAAATTTTGTATTAAAATCACCTAATTGTTTCCTTTTTGCAACGTAGGGATAAATCAAATGAATCCTTTCCCTTCTTCTTCTGATACGCCGCATAAAGCATCGCTACAAAAACAGTAAAATTAAGATTTTTAACATAGGAACGTCAAAGGTGGCGGTTATCGGGTACGTGTGAATGATCTACGTCCGACTAAAGGGTCGCCGGTAATACAGAAACCGCGTGTGTGTGATAACGCCCTAAGCATTATATCAAACTGAATATCAGCCGCTTACTGTGAGCGAGCGCGCGAATTACGCAGGTGGCATGTGATTATTGTATTTCATACATAATCATCTTTTCGTATCACAGTAGTATTAAAGACTTAGTATTATGACTTAATACTTAAGACAATGACCCGGTGTCGATAACAGAACGATTACATTGGCAAAACGAAACAAACTGAAACTTTATATGTAGTTTGAATGGTAAAATAAAAATACCTTACGATCTTTTATTATCTTGAGACCTTAATCTCTCTAGTGACAAACTACTTTAACAAAAGATCAAATCTCGCCCTTGTGTCGCTTCCGCCATTATGAAGACAACGGTCTTATAGCTTCAGTTAAAGTCGTGGCTTTCTTTGTTTTAGCTAACTTTGTTACTGATTTCTGAGCGGCATCGCTAATGCCGTTTGCGCTAAAAGAAACAGTAATTAACTACTTTCACTGGGTCGGATTAAGGAATAAGAATATATATATTAACTCAAATTTTAAATGTGGACCTCGTTCTTAAACGTTGTTTTTATTTAAAAAAAAATCATATATAGATTGAGTTAAATAAACAAAAAAAAAACAAATTTATAATGCATATTTGTAATTTTCAAATAGTAATTTCAGACGGCTAACGGGATTACTTCTATGAAGACCCGCGCGGTGGGTTATGGTTCATTCACTTTTTTCGATTTGATACAATTCTATTCATAGGGAAGACCTGAGCCCAATTTTGATTAATGTGCTGGAGATAATGATCTTTTTACTTTGCTTTACTAAATGGCGTTTATGCTAAACTGTCTGCTAAATAACGATGTCGTGGATATTTTTGTATCAATAAAATTAATATTCGTGTTTTGTAACGTGATACGTTCAGCCGCACTGTAAAAGGACGTTGTGATGGTTATTCAGTGAAATTCAGTGAAAATGTATAACATTATTCAATTGTAGAGCCAGCCGCCTAATTGGACGGATGTTTTTGTACCCAATTATTATAAATTACCCTCAGCTCACACAAAATCCTCTCAACTTAAATACGAAAAAGCAGCTGTGAATTTAAAAGTCGAACAAGCAATTGTGATTTATATTATTATTAGTCTATTTATTTGGGTAACTGTCTGGTAATCTTTTATTATATGATGTAATGAGCGACAAGGAGAATCGTTTAATTATTCCATACTAATATTAAACGAGCGAAAGTAAATCTGTGTATATGTCTGTTACGCACTCCCGCCAAAACCACTAAACCAGAGTGAACGAAACAAAGTTAAATTGAGATAGGATATAAGTTACTTTATATTGTGATGATAGGATTCAAATAGGGACTCAAAGTTTGTATGGAAGTTCTCCATTGTCTAACAATACGTGTCTTTTGTATGATATATTTAGCGTTTTTAAAAATGCTGCCCAAAGTCACTGTACCCGCGGACGAAGTCGCAGGCAAAAGCTAGTAGTATGTAAAGTCTCTTTTAATACTCTCTCTTGCTTATTATTCATTTCCTAGATCCATCCCTGTGTTTTAAGGGGATCGATCATTGTGCTTCCAAGATATCTGCTGGAGTGCAATGTAAGGTTTGCTGCGAATCACAGTAACGATAATAGATTGTCTGGTGAATGTTGCATTTTATGACTTGCACTGGATAAACTCGAATATCATTTGTATGTATGTTTACAAAGAGGTCAGTTTTATATTCATTTATTTTGAGTGAATTCTTCTATCTTTAGTATTATATGTTTTGTTTTGTACCTAATGTTTCACTTGACATTTTCAGAATTGTGCGAATTGCGCAGATAAACCATTAATAAAAGAAGAAAAACAACACGTGTTGGCATAAGTCAGTTTTGAAATAATTTGGTCGGATTATTATTTAAGCATGGTTATCAATCGGTTAGGTAGTTCAAGTGTTCAAATAATTTAGTTAAAATATTAATTTATAATACATAAAGTTTGAAAAGAGACTGGTAAAATGAGGTTGAAGGAAACCAAAATATTTTATTCAATTAATTATTACTTTGAACTTGTTGAAATTTAAATATATGTTAGCTTCGCATTGTTTTACGCGTTGCAATTGCTCTTGCGCGAACGGGCTACTCTACACAATTAATACTTTGCAGTTGTTAATTGTGGTAACTTACATCTGATATGGTAACTATACTACACTATATATACTATAAATTTTTATGTAAAGCATGGATTGATTATATTTATATAACTTAATGGTACATTATATTATATTTATATTACTTCAACTCATTTTTCCCTAAAAATAAACAGTCAACTTAATAATAAATCAATTCCTGAAATACTTCGGTTATGTTGGAATCTCAATTATCCTTCTAATGGTGAGAATTCCATGTCATTTTATCTGAAACATCTCTCGTGACGGAATGCGTAATGATATCGTCACTTGTGAAGTACATTTTTCAGATAACGTTGTCGTTAAGTTAAACTTATAGCCTGTTGTAACTGGTACTTCTAAAATAAAAATGTTTAAGTTTAAAATTCAATTCTTTCGGATTTATTTTAACAATTTGACATAGATATCATAATTGGACAGATTATATGACCCCTACTTGACATAATTAGTTGCTTTTTTTGGATTTTTGCTTTGAAAATACTGGACCATTTAAATTAAAATTTGTAAGACATAAATACAAAAGGCGGTGGCCTCATTAGGGGTAAATTACTAAATAGTAAAATTTATAATTCAAATTTTGGTCAGGTAAATTATAAACTAATCATCTGAAGAATAAATTATGGTGATGCAGACTTTACCCTCAAATTCACAGGTATCATCTGTATAACTATATGCTTTTAAGTTACTAATTATTGCAGCCTTGCTCAGCAAAAGATACTTCCATTAAGCATTTGCTATTCCAGTTATATTTAGGGCAAACAAGCCTGTTGATAGGCGTCGTAATGAAATTTCAGCCCATTGTTTTAGCAAGTTCAGCTAAGTTTAAATTTATATGAGAATGGAGCTTTTGTGAACAATGAGGCATCACGCCAAGTTTAGGAAATTCCATATCTCAATTTTAATTGAGAATTATAAGTGCAATAACAAAAAGAATACTTAGTGTCGGTTAGTTCAACTTTTGAGATTGATAATTATCAGATAGTGCTTAAGCTAAATATATACTAGGTATTGGATTCAGAATGTATCTATCTATTGTAACTTTATTTAATATTTTATTGAACCCCGAATTTGAATGAAGGATTATTTTTAAACTCTTTATTGGGTGATTTTATTTAAACTTTCATTTATTAATTGATATTGAATTTTGCACAGGATAACATCTATGGCTTTAGGCGGCTTTAGAAAGAGATAAGAATTTCAATATCTTATCTGTATTGGATTTCTATCTTATATTTGAGTTATAGTGAAATTTCATAAGTGCTGTAAATAAGCACATTATTTGAGACTATTTTTATTGCACATATCATTTTTTAATTATTAAAGTTACCTGTGTATAGGTCATCCAGCAGCAAGGCTCCACCTGATTCGCGTCCAGGCCCCAGAACTCCAGCTCTTCTTCAAACAGCGGTCCACAGACGTCGGTGGGATAATGTAACTTGCCAGTCCTATGAACAAAGTTATTTGGATTATTAATTGACGAGTTTTCGATGGCGTAGTAGTTAACATAGGATTGATGATCGAAAATTTATTATCTCGAGTTTCCCCGTACTTTTGGTCCTGGCTGAATGAGCAGTTGTTAACACCCAGCCATTCTCGCTGGGTCCGCGTATTGGGTGATGGCTCTTTAGTTGATTATATCTACAGAGGCCCAGCAGTAGGGACATTTATGAGCTGGTAATGATATGTGATTTATTCCTTTTTCTGAATATAGGTGATTACATGAACACTTTATATTTCTTTATAGAATAATGTAACCAATGGTTATAATCAGATTTATAAGTAGTTACGATAGTTATATCATTAAGTGTAAATATTCGTTGTGATTTTTGTCCTGTTTACAGACAGTTGCATAATCGTCCATTAAAATTGTAATTAGTGTTTAAAGCGACATTATCCATACAAATATGACATTCATTAGAGCTTAAAGGCATCATTAAAACTTAATGGACGTTTGTGCAACTAGCCGATTGTATAAAAAGTTGAAAAAAATAATCTTTATTCCTATGAAAACGTTTTTACTAGACAGAATTAACTAACCCAACGGATTACGTCAAGCTATTAACCTAAATACTGTTCCATTTACACACACGCCCAATCGGAATAAAAGTAGTAAAAAATGAAGCCCAAACAAAGAGTAAAAATCGGAATACAAAAACAAACATATTTATCTGATCGAGGTGACGTAGGAAATTCCACGCGTGGGGACAACATTAGCAAATCGATATCGGTCAGATTAGGAACATTAATCAACCGCCAAAGGGTCGTTCGATTCTACTCGAGCGCGGCCTTCGAAGTTAGTGCTTACGGTCGAGAGAGCGGACGCGGCAGCGAGTTGCAGAATGCTAGTTACTCGTACGAACTAAGATGTATTCTATTTCTCCGAAAACGAAGTTTTGTCTATTCTTGAAATTCTAATACGACTCCAAATTAACGCAATTTTCTACCATTTATGATGCAATAGGGGCAGATGTTGATACTGCCTCTGATGCAGATAATCTTCATAGATATGATATTAACAAAATTAAAATTCTCCAAATTTTCGTTCGAGGACAAATAGAATACACGCTAAGGTGTCATTTAATTTTTAGGAGTTATAACTTAAATCATATTTTTTGTTTTGTTTTTAGATGTGAGTGATGATGATGGCATCGTCTTAGTTCTTTAAATAGTTTCATAATTTTGGATCTCTAACAGACTTAATTTTATCGAAGTTTATCAATTTGACATATATATGTTTATGTGTATGTCACGCTTTTTTAAAACAAAATGTCTTTTAAAAATCTGTCTTCGTTTTATATTTTTAACTATACAACATAATTATTTTACAATGTTTCCTACGTTTATTAATATAATACATTTGCCCGTTCTCTTAAACATCAAATGGCCACCGTCAACATAATATTAAATTTTGCGCATTAATAAAGGCTAAACAATCTACCCTGAACCTCCCGGTAGTTTATAATCTAAACGATGACGTACTATTACGATTACTAATCAAGTAAAAGTTGATTTATATATGTCACCGTCAGCTTCCTTTTCCCCTTCACATTATTTATCCCTTCCTCGCGTATAGGTCTTTATCTGTGATGGATTCTCCGAGTTTTTAACAAGCCTCACGCGTCGCCTCGTCAGCATTCTACTTTCAGTTCATTAATCTGTCACTCGCTACGCTCTTCACCCTATCAAGGGTCTTTGTTTGAACAACAGAATTCAACGGGAAGTTCAGCTATTTGTCTCTACAAATGCTAATTATTCATTTCGGCAGTTCGATTACAATAAAGATACAAATACATTAGTCGTTAGTAGCTCCATACTTATATAAAGTCGTATAAGAAAATATGAAAAAAGAATGATTATTTAGATTAAATTAGGTTTTGGATATCAGACCATGTCGATTCATATAAATGTATCATTCGCGATAGAATTTCAGTATTTCTCACAGCAGTCACCGTCTTTACTTTAAAATAAATTTAAAAAAATCAAACTTTGATTCAGACAGATCTTGAAGTTAATTCCATTGCCTTTCGCCGGTGCTTTTATTATTATTTTTATCTATTATTAGTTTTTATTTAAAAAGACAATTTCAAACGCAGACAGCATTCATTATTTTTAAACATTACTATCTGACCCGCAAAGGTTGTTATACCATAAAAATTGAGGAAAACCATCCTTATCACTTAGGGGTATATAAATAGCTTAGCAAGCTATTCTACTGAATATACATATTAAATTTCATAAAAATCAGCCAATCCGTGTCGAAGGAGTTTGGAATTGTGATACGAGAATTTTTAATCGACTTCAAAATTGAAAAGGAGGAGGTTATATGTGCCATAGCAATGTATTTTATATAGCAAATTTAACTCCACCAACGTTTCTCTAACAAAGTCATCTTAGTAAATACTACGTGTTTAATAAAATCTTCCGCAGTGCTAGGATTACTCGGTTAGCAAACCCGGGGACCTTTCTTCGTGCCCATAAATTTACCAGGCACGCGCCTAAATAAGTAACATTTTTTATTTTGACACATCCCAGAGAACCCTTGGCGAATTGAAAAAGTCTGCCGTATTTTTCTACTAAATCTTTCGTGGCTCCGTGCGGGACTCCTTTCAGACATAAATTTCTTATCCTATATTTTTAAGGCGCAGATACACGATTTTTGTTGCCAATCAAACATCACGTCTTATACAGTCGTGAAATTATCACTAAAATATTTTCTAAATTATGTAAAATATATGAAAGGATCAGATTACGGATCAACAAATTAACGTATTCTTTTCAAATCTGTTTTAATTCGTAGAAAAATAAATTTATATATTTTCATTTGTAACGCTATCATTTTAAAATGAACAACAGCTTTAAGGTTGTTTTAAGAAGCTGTATTATTTAAACGGGGAAACGATATGTGTCAATGTTTAAATAAAACCTTTTTGGTATCAAGTTAATACCAACAAGGCTATTATGACAAGCTAGAGGCTTAAAATGTATAAAATACGTATAGTAGTAGTCATACGATCAATTGACCGATGAGATCATATAACTGTCATAACGCTTTATAATTGTCTTACACAAAATTGTACTACTATACTAAAGTTTACTTTGGGTTTGGTTTGAGTTAGGTTTATACGAAATTTTACTGATGAAATAAGTTTCTATTGCATGCCCAATATCGTTTTTACTAACTTAACGTAACATGAATATATTTTTTTTAAATTTGATTACACAGTGAACAAGATTATAAACCTTAGGCAATAAACACTTTTGATGATCTACAAGAGCTCTTTCTCAAATAAACATTGAACACAAAAATTTACAGATTAATAATTAAAAGCGATTGCAGTTTGGTATTTTCAAATCGCTTTATTCTGTCTGTGAATATTTGTTAATTAAATTAACTAAAATTTATAAAGAGGTTTTTATAATTATTGACGTGTTAATTTATTTACCCGTATCGAAGCATATTTGGACTTCAGTTTTTCCCATCCAAAATATACAGTGGAATAAATCACCGGTTTCTACGTCGAGGGTTAGTGGATGAATCGAAAGTCCGAATTTGTAAGAGGGTCTCCTTTGATCCTGAATTTCAATTTACATAATCCTTTAACCTACTTCATGCTAATAACTTAAAATCACTTTTAGTACTCTCAGTTATTGAATGCAAAGCTGCTCAATGGATAGACATACCGTAGTAAGCTTACTATGAATCAACAATGAAGCGTGCTTTACAAAAAGTGCGCTATGTTCAATTTTAAATCTTTATTTTCTAGTACGGCTTAGACAAAGAACTAGAATTTTTGAATCTCTGTTTATACTGTACGGTAACATCATTAAATAAATGTTGGACAACACATACATTGCTCTGATTCCAAATTAATTAGCTAAGGCATTTACATTTTGAAAATCTTAAATAACGAAGAAAACACAACGTCCAGACTTATACAACAGAACGATCAAGTAAACTATAAAAAACCTTATTTATATTCAACCACTCCTGTGGCTCGCACGTCGGTTTCTCAGATCCAGAGTTTGATTCTCGGTGGGGTCAACGTAGAAAATTATTGTTTCTATATTATACTCTGGATCTGAGAAACCGACGTGCGAGCCACAGAAGTGGTTGAATATAGATAAGGTTAGTAGTTAAGTATAATGCTTTTTTATAGTTTACTTGATCGTTCTGTTTACGTTTAATATAGTGTGTTCGAACTGAGTATCTTTGTGTATAATTATCTGAAAGAAGACCTTACATTAACTCTTTTATGCTACTGAGTAAGCTGAACATCCAATAAAGTTTTGAATGTATTTTAGCATTAACAAGTAAGTATAATAGTTAGGTTCCCAGCGTATGTTTTCTTACATTTAGTTACATAGTAATCATGTTTATGAAGTAATTAAAAAAAATAAGTTAGAGACAAGATTACATATGTTGGTCAGAACCCAAATGAAATAGCTTTGATTTATTTGATTTTTTGAATCCGCCGCCGTTTGATCCGTAACTGTCAAGATACTATAAAATACTTATTTGCGAGTGCTTTGTGCATTTCATACCAAACTTATACATCTACATTAAACCCCAAAGTCTTTACAGGGACGTTACTTTCGTCTCCTTTCTTTAAGCTACATACTTTTCACACATGCTCTTGGTTTTTATGGCTTGTAATATCATCTACCGGTAACATAAATGCATTCAATTTGATTGTAAAAGTGTGGCTTTTCAGACTTATTTTTGTACCAAACTTTTGAAATAAAAGCGTTATATACCTGTAATAGTTGAGGACTTGTGCGAAGACCCCGGGGTGTCTATCGAAGAAGTACTCGTTGAGCACCGGGTCGTAGTTGGCGAGCGCCTCTGTTAGCCGAGAGAGGCGCGTCGCGGGGATCTTCTTTAGGGTGGCCTTGTAGGTTTCGTGACGAATTCCCCCCACGTTTAGAACCACACGGTTCTCCGCGTCCATATTTAAGAGATTCATGGCTAGAACAAGAAAACAATATTAGTTATTTTGTCGCTGAAAAAGAAGAAGATAGTGTATAAAGACAATACTAATTAATATTGTAGCTGATCTACTTGCTTTTATAAAAATCAAAAACCCGACTACAGCTAAATGAAGCTCAATTTTTTAATACTTAAAATGTTCTACAATAGTAAACTGATATTAAATAAGACAACAAAGTGTTTCTAAGAGACGTATGTACTCGTAGAAACAGATTTAAATTTAGAATATCCCTATTTGATTCAATAAATTCAAAAGGGGGGGGGGACCGAGTTTATAAATAAACAGTGCTATTAAAAACGGCTTAAAACTGTCGAGTTCGAATTCTATGTGAGTTCGACGTCGGTCGAGGCTGTCATCATAGCATAAAGGTAACATATCTACTACTTTTTCTTTGAAGCTCTATATCGCTATGCAGAAGGTTAGCTTTATTTTCTAAAAGACGGTGGAGGATCGTATAGTTATCTTACTTGTGGAAACTTGTCAGCCTTCTTGCAGAAACGTTTAACCGCTACGGTGACCGGCTTTGGCCCCTCCTCCGAGTGAGCTCGATGTAGCCGCTCTCAAGTCTGCTGACCTTCACGTGGGGTGACATCGCTGTCGGTTGAAATAATCCTGTGGACATTTTTTTGGAATTGAAATTCATTCATGGATATCTGTGTATCTTTATAAACTTGAATATTCTATTTACGTTAAATAGGCTTAATTATGAGAAAAGTGCGTCTAACACGATTATCTATTTTCTAGAGAAGTAATTGCTTAAGATAATGTCAAAATTGAAGCAAAAAATTTTTCAAATTGGAGAATTTATTTGAATTCATTTTTATTTATTTGAAATTTGGGAAAATATGACTTATTCTCAAGGAATTATTTCTCTCTTCTAAAGGTAGAAGGGTTAGTCATTGAGATTGAAAGAAGAACAGAAATTGAGTGTGTATATTCTTTGCGGATTTACTTTATTAATACAGATAAGTTATAGGTTTAAGTAGCATTCTGAAGTTTGGTAATCGTTATTTTTGTAGTTATCACTGTCGAATAGAAAGTTTCTTAAAATGTTTATTACGTGTGCAAAACGAAGTCAGGTTGCTATTTGTTATATACTATGATTTCAACAGTTCGTATTTTTATATAAGCTGTTTAATTAAGTTAAAATTTAAGAGTAACCTTTCACTAGTTTAGTTTTCGTAACAACTATTTTTGAGCTGTACAAATCTTCATGAGAAATCTGTTTTCGAAATCCGAAACTTTTCGTATTAAATAATGTCAAAGACTAAACAATGTGCGGGTAAAAAATGTTGCCGAAAATATCCAATGGATCCGAGCTATTCGCGGGGGCCGTCGCCACTGTTCACTCTTCCAAACTCTGGTGCTTTCAAATAAAACGTGCCTTGATTAAGTAAGTTTCGCCGATCTGAACGCCACAAAGTTAGCAGTTTTATGGTGTTAAGTTGTATTTCGTTAACGTGGAAACACCAAGTTTTACAACTTTGTTACGAAGTTTCTTATTGTATAGCTATAGACAGTCGTGTGCTCCGATTTCTGAATGAGATTGAATCCTAATGAAGTCTGTACAAAAGATTGTTTATTTCAATTTATAATGGACGTGAATTTGAATGAATATGACGGAACAAGCTCTCTTAATTATTTTTTTCTATTTCTTTTAATAATTTACCGTCTGAAGACAGAAAAGTAACTCGTTTATTTTGAGGCTTCATGACTTTTACCGGTTTTTACAAAATTTTCCTAATAAACATTTTTAAGTTAAATTTTAATATCATGGAGGAAAACATAATTTTCTTGATACGCAAAATTGTGATGTACTATTAGAAACATTGACATGTAGATATGTTTATTACATTGAACCTATGCGTAATCATGTACCTATATAAATATTTTTTTAGATATTACCTATTATTTTAGTCTCTCGTCTTCTGATAATTTTGTGTAAAAAATTTACACCCTGTTTATCTTTTTTGAATAACAGATTTGCAGCGATTCGTTTTATAGGTTATATCGTTATTCGATTACTAAGTTTACGATTTATAACTTTTATTTACGATTATTGTTTATAATATGTCATATATTATAATTCGTCATTTGGGTGCACGAGCTTGCACCATTGTTCATTACAGTTATTTTTTTATGTTTACAAAAAAATTAATAAGAGCTCATCTTTATCTGCAATATTCGTCTCTGATTGCTTGGTTAAAATGTAGTTGTAACTTTGCATTACACAGTACAACTAAATTGTAATTGCACAACAAAAATACGTCGTATCAACTCTTAACAAACAAACATTAAAGACAAGGAAACTCTGTAATCATATTTATGAATCTTTTTTATACTGCTTGCACCTGTATATCTTGAATTTATTATGATATTAGGCATTACTTTCCTTTTATAAGGATAGGACTTTTCATCAAATTCTAATCTTGCGAAATATTCTAATAAAGACTCCTTTATACTGAGTGTATTGTTAGGAATACATTGATAAGTAAAAAATGTATGCTTTTCACTTGCTTTTCACAATATCATTTGACACATACAGAATTCATTCAGTTTCTTTGAACGGTATTTTTTATAATGAATCTTGTAATGAGTACCTTTAGTAAGTAATAGTTATAAAATTTATATTCCTGGTACCGTAATAACATTCCGTTTGACTTACATCTCAAACTTTTCAACTATAATGCCACTTAAAGTATATAAGAAGTTTCTATGACTATATGCACTTTTTTATAACAAATTTATTTGCTTTTAAACTTTGTTATTTGAAAAAAGTCGTTGGATTGTACATTACGGGGTCCTGAAGATAAATAAAATTTCTGATTACAGTTCTTACTTAATCTAACCTCTGGTTACTGTTTTATTCTACTAATATGTATTATAAAAATGGCGAAAGTTTGTGAGAATGTATAGATTTATTACTCTTTCATGCAAAAAGTACTAAAGGGGTTTTGATAAAATTTGCTAGACGGATAATTATTAGGTTTTTATCCCATTAAAGCTTGTATACAATAAAAAGTATAAAAAAACTGTCATAAATATTCTAGTCTAATTGCCTCAGAGCTCGGTAAGGATACTCCAACCAAAATATCGTTAAAAATTTACGCCGGGAATTCAATATAATTTCTCGTCACATTTTACAAATTTTCTAGTCATAATTCCGTCACATATACTCCAACAAATATATATACCTATATTGTTCAAAATTTTTAATGAAAATTTGACATTATATTACGAGCGGAAAAAGTATATAATATATTCCCAAGCACGATACATATTTGAAAAGATAAATCTTTATTTTTTCACCATTTTTTAAGGAAGTTTATCCACTATCGTACGATTATGGATATGTAGGGATACTAACAATAGACATGATAAATAGATAGGTCAAATAGTTCGATTTATTGGGGGCTGAATCGGCTCCACCTCATAACTATACAGATCGGTCCTGCACATTGGTATATTACGTATATCATTTATTATGCTACTAACGGGCAGTTGCACAGACGTCCATTAATGTTTAATGGCGCCTTTAAACTCTGATGAATGTCATATTTGTATGGGTAATGTCGTTTTAAACTAATAAATATTTTAATTGACGTTTGTGCAACTGGCTGTGTGTATGTAAAATTGTAATGACAGATATGGTCCCGAATTTTAAGTTACAAATTATCTTATCCATGTGAGGGAGGTTCGGTGAGGACAACCATGGGGCAAACTCTCAGGAAGCCCAGATGGGATATCCAGGCAGCACTCTCAAGAAGGCGGCAGGGGGAGAAGGGTTTGCTTATTAGCGCATCCCTTTCTTCTGTGGACCGGTGGGACAGGGCTGACATCCCACCCCCGTCCTGGCGAGACTAGCTCGCAGCTAGGGCTCACCGTCTTAGAAACGGCAACTCACTCAAGTCTTTTCCTTCCAGCAGAGGGTGACTCCTCTCTTCCCCCATGAGAGGATTCCCAGCGCGAATTATGGCCGGCCCTCCTTGTAGGATACCGATCTCTTCCAAAATTAATGGAACAAACAATTTAACAAACAAAATAAAATGCTGTAAATGAATTTATTAGGCAGTGTCGGGTTAAGATGACATCAGGTCGGCCAAAACCAATTGAATTTTCATATAAAATGCGAAGAAACTTTCCTATAATCTATTTAATTACATTTTGACCTTACGACACTATGTTATTTTATTCATAATGGAAAATTCTTAAAAAATCCCCTTGATCCCCGGCACCCCGATATGGGAGACGAACCAATGATTTTTCGCAATCCGGACGACTGTTTTAGCTATCCAGGACCTAACAGGACTGACTAATCTTTCAAGAACTTGTTACCTTTTCGCTACTACAGGGCGTATTCTCATCAAGCAATCCAACCAAACAGCCGAAAGATTACTTTTACAAATATTTAAACTTTCGATAAAAATGAAAATTTGTTCTAATTATTATATTTTATAACTCTGTTATTGTATACTGCTACAATAAAAGAGTACACCAGTAAGGTTTCCGTTTTATCGTTAAAAAGTATTAAAAGCCTCTTGTAAATTATATGTTACAGGGTTTAATTAGAGACCATTCAATCGTGGATCGGATTGTTTACTTGATGTGAATGGCGCTCTAAACCCTAAGAAGTAAACATAAATGGGTCGAAATGTCGGAAGGTCACATCCAACCGCTATACAGTTGCAATTTAGTTTTAAAAAATTCTTATGTTCTTCCTTGTATTTGTGTACTTGGATTGTCGGCGCCATATCTAAGTATATTCCCTCAATCCTGTATCATCATCAGCCTAAGGTAGAAGACCCGGCTTTTGGCCACCCCTTTTGGCCATTCGGAGCTTCAAAGCGTTAGGAAAATATATTACTTTTCAGTAAACATTTTCTAAAATTTTTAATTATGCTAAAAGTAATACCGTAAATACCGATGTTTTAAAGGTCACGTCCTTTATCTTAAAATGGCCAATATACTGCTTAGACACAGGCTTTCTGTAAATATGTACGTCATCAAATAGGAAAAATAACGTTAACGAAATCGGAGCTGTGACAAGATCAACATTATGAATCTCAATCACTCAAACTAGATAAACTCCCAAATGCCTCAATAAAGTTTATGGTTTAAGATCTATAGAAAAAGAATTGATCTGGAGAATCAAATTTGAGCCTTTTAGAGCGATTCGGATAAAATCGATGACGTGAAGATCGCTCTATTATAATACGATTCATTCTTCTATTATCGTATAAAAACTTTTGTATCTAAGCTATTGGTTGTGTGGTAGGTAGTATGATCGAAATATTACAATAAGGAAATTTAATTTTATAATTATGCCTTTGTTTTCTAATTTAATGAGAAAAATCAAAGATAAATTCTAAAGAGATAATAATAATAATAAAAATCGATCTACCTCAAAAATAAAAAAAATCTAATCGATTCAATAAAATCAAATCGAGATGTGGATTGAATGTAGTTACTTCAATCGATAAACAATATTTTATTATTGGTGGTGGAAGACCTAACATATAGGTATATACCAATATGTTAGACGTTCTTCTTAATAGTAGGCGTGTTCGTCGCAAAATGTCAATCATCGTACCGGCCATTTGAACTTTATAGGCTTTTAATGCTGCGAGGTTCGAGTAATTAAAGCGGACAATTACTTTCTTTGATTGTCACTTTGACGTTTCAATAGTGGTGCTAAATGAAAGCGTTGTCGTTATTTTGAAATAGTTCAGTTCCATCTATCTATATGTATAGCAAATGACCCAATTTTGACCATTTAAAACTATGACCTGGTTTGGACGTTTTAAGAGTTACAAGGAAGTGAACGTTGACATATCACAGCTGTCAACGGTATTACTTTTGC